CAGAGGATTTACTACGCTGCCTATAGAAGCTTGCTTTCCTGAACCCTGCCCATTCATTCTCTGCAAAGAAACCCCAGATCCTGCTATCTATACTGAACTCTATTTTGGAGAGAGGAAGTGAGGAGAGAGCTGAACAGTTCTTTGTTTTGCCAGTAAGGAGCATCTATCTGCTCGGCCTTTCCCATAACTCCTTCCTCACGCCCCAATATCCCCAACCCCTTCAGAAAAGTTCACAGCAACTCTCCAACTAGAATTGTGAAAAGCAGGTCAGAGGAGGAGAGGGCCAACAGGGGGTGGGTGTCCAATGGAAAATGACAATACCCTCCCTTCTCTCTTCCCTGTGGGGTAGAAAGCATTTCTTTTCAGTTGCTAATACCCTGCGGGAAGTCACCAGAGCTGCTAGTTCAACTCAGGGCCCTACAGCTGAGAAATGAGCTCCCAGCAATCCTGGAGAACTAACCCTGGACTAACCAACCATCAACTCTAATAGTGCCCAACTAACAGACCAACTCCTCCCTGGGGGTGGGGGAATGAGCTTGAGACATCAGAGCGTGGCTGGCAAGGAGCTATTTAAGGAGCATCAAGAGGGTGGGGCAGAAAATTGCTGGCAGCATCCTCTTCCTCCACCCCTCCCTCACACACACCCTTCACCTCTTAGATAGCCACCTATCTCACCTACATCTCTTAAGGGCTGTAGATCCGGAGTCCGAAAATGTCCAGTATGTGTTTTCTGTCATTGAGGTTCCTGTCCACATTGGCTGCCCACCCCTCTTTTAATTGACCCCCTTCTCTTGGATCACCACCAAGTCAAAAACACAAAACTGAATCTAGAGGAGCTAGAACAAACAAACAAACAAACAAACAAGGAGGGGAGTGGATACTGACAAGCCATCCCTGGCCTTCACTTATGAGAGGAAAAAGGGGTGTGATGTCAGATGCCTGGCAGGCCAGATAGTTCCATGATATCTCTAAATGAACTCCCTCCTATTGATGGTGAAATCAATGCGGCCAATTTCAGCAAGTCTGCCCTGTGACAACAGGAGCATCCCAGCGCTCAGTTTAAAACAAAAATCCAAAGGCTCGGCCAGAACGTGCCGGGAAGACCCAGGGTCTGGATAAAGCGAGCCGCCTTCAGTGGGATCCCTCCTGCTTTCATGTAGCGGTGTAACCGCGCAATAAATTCTGTCCGCCTGGAGAAAGCATGCACTGGTGGATTTCAAAGCCATCTTACGACAGCGGATGCAGGGGGATGCAGAATTCGACAGTGCCTTCCCCCATGAAAGGAACATAATGACTTCAAGCCTCTTTCCTCCTCTATCCTGAACGGAGCTACCGCTGATCAAGGAAGCCACGTCGGAAAGCAGCCAGGGGAGAGCCGGGGATGCCCGGGGAATTCGGAGAAAGGAGTCGCTTTCTGTGCATCTCGGTGACGAGCTGCCAGTCACTCTGGGGGATGGAGCACGGGCGGATGGGAGGCACGTCGTCCCCGGACGCGGACACACACATGGACCCGCTCACTCAGGCGGGTCCTAGGCCAGACCGCTCGTCCTTGGCCCCTCCCGCCGCCCTCTCCTCCAGAGGGATGCTGATGAATGAAACACCCGAGATGCCTCCATCCTGCGCTCCTCCGTCCTGCCCCCGGCTGCGGCAGTTTCACTTTACACCGCGGACCCACCCGCGCTTTGATGTCTCCTCCGCCGCCCATACTGCGGCCAGCCTGAAGCTGGCGGGCGTTCTTCCCCACCGAGGCCATGATCGCACGTACCCCCGACCCACCAGAAAAACCCTGGCATCTCCCAGAACCCCCGCACCCTGGGGAACTTTTCCTTGAAAGACTGGCAGGAAGGAGGGTTCGGCCATGGGGGGCCATGGTTTCCCTGTGACTACGGGGGATGCTCTGGGGGAGGGGGTCCCCAAGTCCTTCCAACAGCTGGCCCTTTAAACGCGCCTCCTCCGAGCGCGGAACAAAGGCGCCGCCCGCGGGGGCCGGGCTGGCGCACGCCCCCGGCGCCGGCGCAGCGGACCGGGTGAGCGCGGGCGGGCGGGCGGCGGGCGCGGGCTTACCTTGCGGGTCGCCGGGCGGGCGGGCGGGCAGCGCGCGTCCTGTCCCGCTCGCACTACACGCTGCAGTTGGCCCCGCTCTGGGACTCGGCGCTGACTTCACCGACACTCCGCGGCGGGCCAATGGGCTGCGGCGGCCGCCCCCTCATTAGCATGCGTCTGGAACCGTCCACTCCGGCTGCGCTCGGGCAGCGGGCGGGGCCGGGGGGCGGGGCCGGGCTCAGTGGTGACAGGAAGGGGCGTGTGCGCCAATGGGAGGCGAGGAAGTGCCCCGCCGCCCCGCCCCGCGGCATTGTCAGCCCCGCGCGCGGGCCCGCGGCTCTCAGGCAGATAAAGCGCGCGCGGGCCCTGTTACCCTTTCAGTCGGGCCGCAGCGGGCAAGGCGGCTAGCTCGGCGCGCCCTCTGGCCCTTCAGAGGGATCGCCCACTGGAAGCTGGGAAGGAACCTTGGACATAAAAATAACAGCTATCATGTCCTGAGTTCATATGTTACTTAACGTCTGTGCCCCAGTTTGCTCACCTGTAAAATGGTATAATAATAGGATGTAGTGAAGATGAGTATAGTTAACCGATGTAAAGCGTTTAAGCCAGTGTCTGGCTGTCAAGATGCATAAATGTTTGCTACTCTCATTATTATACTCTGTACCAGCCAGTGTGCTTAATGCTTCCTCCACATTTTCTCATTGATCCTCATAGCCTTATAAGAGAGGCACTGTTATTATTCCCTATTTTTCAAGCAGGAAAACGGAGGTGTGGTATAAATGGCTTGCTCAAGGTCATACAGAAAGCGGTGCAATCAGGATTTGAACTCCGGCTCTGAGTGTTCAGGAGCTGCATGGCAGGCATGTGCTGGGCCCTTGGGTCACTGCAGAAAAACCAGCAGGCAAGGCCCCTCCCCTCATAAAGCCCACTTTTTAGTGAGGGAGACAAACAAGTGAATAAATAAACAAGATCACCTGCAATGTGAAAAGTAGAGTGAACAAAATAAAACAGGGTAATGTGCAAGGAGAAAAGAGTACTTTACTAGATTGAGTTCAGAGCTAACCACTGTACCATACCATCCGGACTTCCTCCAGTCCTGCTTGTCCAAGGTCACAGGGCCAGCGAAGAGCTCGCCTGGAACTTGCTCCCTCCAGGCTTAGCTTCCCACATCCCTGGACATCCCAGTCCTCCTTGGGCTGAACAGAACGGACTTTGGTCAGCTGCCCTTGGCAATCTCCAGCCAGGGCACATGCCCAGTTCACAGACTGCATGTGGCAAAGTATAGACCGACCTTGATGACTGCATGGGGTGATGGGAAACACATCTGCTAACATTCTTAGATGTAAAGGAACAGGGTCAAGCCTTTGCTGAGCACCTGCTGTCCTCTTCTGTGTAAAAAATAGAATTTTAGAAGAGCCCTCGCCACCGGGGGGCTTACTCTGCAGCTGAGGAGACAAGACACCACCAGAAAACTGCTCCATCTAGGGAACCCCAGCCCAGGCCTCTCTCCACTTGCACCTCATCCGGCTGCTTTGCAAAGAACACTAGACTAGGAATCAGGCTTCCCAGGCTCCCTTACTAACTCACTCCATGACATAGGCGAGACAGTTCCTTCTGGGCCTGTAA